ACTGTAGCTTGAAACCTATATTAGGTTCCTGTGACATTACCATCTATTCGATGTGGGTGGTGTTCACAACATGTCATTTCGAACTGCGTTTGTTTTTGCGCATATGCATATGATCTCGAGACCAATCGTAACTGAGTAAAGTTTATTGGAACCTCGCCTACATAGCTGTCGACTACATTTGTTGTTTATGTACAAGGTTCGACACACCCATTAACATTTGGCCCTTTTACGGGAGGTGAACACTACACAATGAGTACACATGTAGAATATTATAATTCATCAGTAACACTAATGAAAAGTTGGAATGATTAATTTTATTATCGTTTAAGCACATAAATGAAACGACTGTGTGAAGGGTTTATTACTTATCAAATTTAGTAAAACCTAAATGTTATTTGAATAACATTTGCTTAATGGTGTATATGCCAAAACCACACTAATTAAAGGAATATCACATGTAAACACTGGACATTCCGCCGCCAGGTCGACGAGCTGGTTGTGTGGTGTGCTGAGAACAACCTCCAGCTGAATGTACTGTGGCCAAAACGAAAGAGATGGTCGTCGATTAACGTTTGAAAAAGACGCCCATCTCTCCATTGGTCATTGACGACTCGCAGGTGGAGCGCGTTGACTGCTTGAAGTATCTCGGCGTCCACATATCCAGCGAATTGCCTTGGTCGGCGCATGTCGGGCACTGCGTCATGAAGGCCCAGCGTCGGCTGTTCTTCCTTCATATATTGAAAGGTTTTCATTTGAAGACTCTCTGCTGCTTAAATTTTACCGCTCCGTGATCGAGAGTATCTTGATGCTCTCCGTCACGGTGTGTACTGGAAACGTCTGGACAAGCGAGCCGAACGAATCATCGGTGACATGTCTCATCCTGCGCATGATTTGTTCGAACTTCTACCGTCCGGAAGGCGCTATCGATCTCTAACATCCACATCGTCCCGGTCAGCCAAAGGCTTCTACCCCATAGCCGTCCGACGCATGACGTCAAATTTATGTAAGGCCTCTAGGTAGTCTGTGTTACATCTAGCCAATGATTGTATTTTAGTGCGCAAGGTCAATCCAATTTCTATGTATATTTTTAGTATATTTAGCCAATAAACTATGATGATATATATATATATAAGATTCCATTTCCACACTGGTACAACAACGAGGATTGAAGGGCGCGCTTTAAATTGATTCATGCATCTTATTAGCACAAACAAAAAAAACAGCATGGTCAGGTTGGATGAGGTAAGATGAAAGATGTCAATTGACAAAATTGAAACAGATATGCTGCTGTATGTCACTACAAATTTATTTATTTCACAATATGATCCAATGTATAATTAATCGCTATAGACTTCTACTTCACACAGTTGTAAACTGTTGGTGTGATCTCTCAGTGTTACACCAACATATCGCCCTCTGAGATGACATTCAAATGGAATCTTCACATTATATGTGTTTGCATCCCAGTCTACTTGATCACCACACTGGTTGTTTTGGCTTATATCAAAATTGTCACCAATTGTCACCACTGCTCCATCAATTCTCTCAGCTGAAATATGTAAATATGTTATGATTTAGGTGTACTGAATATTTAGTTGATTTAATCGTCGCGTATGGTTTTCGGCCAAGAATAAATACAAATGAACATGTGAAACAATTTTGTCAAATTCCTCATATTAGATAAGATTAATCAGTAATCACGGCTAATATACTTTTCGATGAGGTGAATAGTAAATATTACATGAAACTACAAAGTGAGCACGAGGAGTCAATAGATGACAATGCTGTTATGGCTATATTAGGAAAATTGCCTATACAGCAGAAGATGAGCTAAAAACTGAGAAACGTTTGAAATTAATAATATTGGCGAAGTCAGAACCACTGTCATCAGTATGACTTTTTGACTTTTTCGGAATGTCTTCCTCCTTGTGGCATTGAAATTTGCCGTTATGTACTCGGTGCAACGTACACGTGTGTGTACAACCTGATTATTTGTTGTTATGGCTATTAAATTAATTCCAGTTTGGTTAGGGTTAAGGCAAATTACATCATTAGCATGCACAGATGTACACCACAACCTAATCAGGTCTCGAGATAATCATACAATATATGTACTATATTATTTGATATACAGTGGCTCTTGATCTATAGATAGAACATGCAGCATGCATCCACCCATTCATACAGACATACCTTAGTACTTGAGTGACTAACCATTCTATTTTTAAAAAAATAATGTTTTTTATTTCAAAGTCTGGTCGCATAAATTTTAATATTTTGTTTATAAATTTAAAGCTCACAAATGCTGTGTTAGTAGAATATTTCTAAGTTTAACTTTAAAACATAGAAAACTGTAACAAAGCAAAGCATTGAATAAATAACATTTACTTACAACAGCAATCCTGTCGATTTGTTATGACCACTTCTGTTATCCAATAACTGTCTCCTAAATCAACTTTCCACCAACTATTCTCCTCAAGAGCAGTATGGCTACAACTTCTGTTAAAGTAATAAGGATTATCATTCCCATCAATAGCCAAA